TGGTATCTGGAAGACTAACAAATTCAATTTGGCATATGATTTTATGCAGTGCAGCCTGACTTGGTAATAAGAAGCCACTTAATGGCTTGTTAAGCAGAAATACTCCCCAGTGAAAAAGACTAATCTGTGGATCTGAAAGAAGCTACATTGTGCTGACTGAGAAGATGGCTTTACAAAGCTGGTGGGGTTTCTAGCTGTTTTTCGAGTATCTCTGAAGCTTTGTATAATAGGGTCCAGTCTTACTCACTCCTCTATCTCAGCATCTGGCTGGAGGGCAGTGATGCAGGCCATGTAGTTGTACTGGGGTAGTTCTCGAGTCAGACAAGGCCATTGCCTTTTTCTGTAATTATGAGAAAGTATCAAAACTGTAGAACACAGAAATTTGGACTAATATGAAGGTAAACTAAACTGTATGGGACTCAGAAGATAAGAGTTTAAGAGTGAAGTGTACAACCATATGAGAAAGGATTGTGTCTCATTGCACAGGAAAAGGTTCCTTCTCTGGGAGTGATATCCCTTAAAGTGACTGTCCTGTCTGTGGCGGAATCACTCTACCCTGCCCCCCCCCAAAAAAGTAGCCCTGCTGCTGGACCAGAAAGGTCCAGTTTAAGGCGCAGATTAGGGTTAGGCTTGTTCATGACCTCATGTACATAATGCGATTGCCAGAAAATAGCATACGTGGGACTATGCCAGAAGCAGTCCAAAATGTGAGCAATTTCCCTGTCTGATCACACCCAGAGTTTTATTTTCTGTGAAAACTAATTAACTTTAGTCTTTTAAAAGGAAGTATAGAAGAGAATTATTTAAGGCTGCATTCTCTTCAAGGCTGCTTGTCCCTATGTGACTCAGAAACTGGATTGCAGAAACTTTTTCTAGATGAATATGGCAGCTGTGAAGCTAAAATACAGTAACTCTTCTGTTCCTGCTATTTCACATCAGTAGATTTCATAATTTCCTTATTACCTCTACCCTACTGCAAGACTTAGGCTACTCATTTAAATTGCTGTGAACCTTGCCTATTTAATAGTGAAAGATACCAAAAATCTGTTTTAGTGCACAAGAAATTCCCATTAAATATAGTTGAATGGTGAACAACTGGAATGGAATTCCTGATCTGCAAAGCTGAGAATGTACAAAATCTGCTTGGTGGTGGTGGTGGTGAGTGGACTAAAGATGACCAGCAAAGGCTCAAATAACATTAGGCCAGAGTGCTCAATTGAGGATAAGCTGCGATTTGATTGGTTTGCAGATGACTCATATTCCTGGAAAAGAAGGTAACCTGAGGGCAAATGGAGCGGGGGACAAGAGATGTGTGACAAAGTTCCACTTATGTTCTCTTAGGAAGCCTGAGGAGCTGCTCTGGCACATGCAATTTGAGAGCGTTATATGCATTAGGTGCTCCTTGCCAGCTCTATTTCTCCTCGTTCTCCCAATCATGGAGATATTAGGATTCACTTACTTTTAGGTGTTTTATGTTTCTTTGATATTTGCTTTTGGAAGTGGCAGTATACAAAGTAGGTATCTTTGCAAAATCCAGTGAAGAAGCACAATATGGAGGAAAAGGAAAAAGACACCTGAGGTGTAGTTATCTTCCTTGCCCCTGGACCAGTCCAGTACTTTGGCATATGATGCAAACTGTATTCTTGAAAACATGTTAAACGTATTCTTGAAAACACGTTGAACAATTCTTTTAATTATCTGTTATTTTAATCAATTGAGTATAAACTTGCAGAACAGCCCCCTATTTATTTACTCCAAAGTATTTATTCATTGGACTCAGGAGATTACAGTATACATGCCTTAAAAAACTCTTAGTAGTTACTAAAACATAAAGGGCTGTTTAGATGTCAAATCATAAAGTCCAGAAACTTACACAAGCACGGAAATGAGTAATAGCTCATGATTTTTTCCTCTGGGGAAGTAAAGCAGTGACAAATGCTTTGTAACACAACAACAGAGGACGTTTGCTTCCACTTATACTGTGGGTTTTTCATTTTTTAGCAAATGCCTAGGATAAAATTTCAGATGAACCTGATACACTTAAACATGCAGGCAGATAAAAATACATTTGGGATGGGTGGAGTCAGAAAGATTGTGCACACTTGCCATGTAATTGTGGCTGGGATGTCTGCTACCCTTGAATTTAATTATATGATTTTGGTGCCAGAATATGGCATAGACAATAAAGTTCGCTTTTAAAATAATCTGTTTTTTGGATATTTTGGGTTTCCATTTTTGCTGTGTGCTGAAAGTATAAAACAAATTGGAACAGGCTTCACATTGGTTCACAATTGAAATAGTATTATGAATTGGAGGATAAGTCCCTCTTCAGAAATGTTGCCATTTTGTTAGGCTGTATTTGTACATATTTAGAGAATCCTGTCCCAAATGGTTGATCTGAAGTCAGTGCATTGCACAAAAGGGAACTAGTACTGCATATGATGGTTTTGTACAATAATGATGGAAAATATCATTTTTCCAAGACTTTACTGTTCAGGTTTTATAGTTCAGGAGAATCTCCTGATTTCTAATCCAGCATTTCTGTGTGCTGTAAGTCTCTTAATTTATTTGGCCTGTTGATGTCTAACCTGTTTGCTTCAAAGATGTGAAACTGTTATTTAAATGAAGTTAAACAATTGTCTCAAAGGGACGTGGTGGCGCTGTGGGCTAAACCGCAGAGGCCTGTGCTGCAGGGTCAGAAGACCAAGCAGTTGTAAGATCAAATCCACATGACGGAGTGAGCGCCCGTCACTTGTCCCAGCTCCCACCAACCTAGCGGTTCGAAAGCATGCAAATGAGAGTAGATTAATAGGGACCACCTCGGTGGGAAGGTAACAGCGTTCCATGTCTAAGTCGCACTAGCCATGTGAACACGGAAGATTGTCTTCGGACAAAACGCTGGCTCTATGGCTTGGAAACGGGGATGAGCACCGCCCCCTAGAGTTGAACACAACTGGACAAAAATTGTCAAGGGGAACCTTTACGTTTACCTAAACAATTGTCTATAACAAATTTGATTTCTCCTTGGAGTCTATATAAGACTCTTTCATTGATTTATTTGCTTTTTAAATGTTATTAAGCAAGAAGCTTTTTCCAGATTAATATGGCATTAATATGGTGTTCTTTAACTCTGTTTTGAAAATAAGTGCTAATAACACTATTATCAACATGTAGGTTTGTAGCATGCCCCCCCTCATATTTTTATAAGTACTCTCTGCACAGATACATGTTGTTCTTGGTGAGAGAATGGTAGAACTGCTGTGTGGTTAGTAATATTCTGACTTGGTCACTTTCTTGCCATAGCAATCATGCCTAGATGGTCCCTTTTTAGTCACTAGGATAGGGAGGTTGTTGGTACCATTGTTAAATGTCTGTTTGGCCTCTTTAACAAACATGGAGGCAATGATTCTGCCTCACCTCTGTCCCTAAAGAGCTGCAGCAAGCCTTAGCCTTGAACGACTGTCACGTAGCTGTGCACTTACTGATTTTCCAATGAATGATAGAGTAGCAGACAAACCCTGCAGTTTGTATGAAGATTGTAGATGACAACATCTTGATCATTCTGATGGTTGTTGTGGGTTTTTCGAGTGTTCTGAAGGTTGTTCTTCCTTATGTTTCACCAGCCTCTGTGGCCGGCATCTTCAGAGGACTGGAGTAGGAACTCTGTCCAAGCTCTGTTGCTGTTAGTTAGTTGAAAGCCTTCGAGACTACAGCTGATCATTCCTTAGGTATATCTGTGTTTCATTGCCTTTGTATATGAACACTGGTATCTTTCACTGGGAGTCAGTATCGTAGGCTGCCTTTGTCCTTTTCCATTCTGAATCTGCCATAGTTAGGGTTTTTTCATCTGCTCTTTAAGTAGAAACAGAGGTCTTTAAAGCCTAAGACACATTTTGAAGGCTTCAAAAGTAACACTATTCAGTATGAGTCAATCAGTGCTAAATGGTTTAGTTCTGTAGAGCAGTGGTTCCCTACCTTGAGTCCTCAGATGTTCATGGACTACAGCGCCCAGAAATTCTGGCCATCACAGCTAGTGATGAAGGGTTATGGAAACTGTAGTCCAAGAACATCTGGGCACCCAAGATTGGGAAACACTGCTGTAGAGCATTCATGGTGTGTTTGAAATGTATATCTACGTATCTCCTTCCTGCTTTTAATATTCCTATTCGTTTTCACCTTTCTAATTTGTTTTTATCCTCCAACAGAACCCATGAGAGTACATGCAGCCTACCACATTGGCCAAGTGGTTAAGGTGATGAATGGCTTATGTGCTCTGCATGCATGGGTTTGAATCCTATCTTCATTTATTTAAGCCTACCACATTAGCAAGTCTGTTTCATGCATCTGATTAATTGTTGTCTACCAAAGTGAATTTGATAAATTGTTTAGCTTTTAATGTTTTACATCATTCTACCATCTTGCCACCACAAACTGTGTTTCTGGGAATTAAGAAGTAATTGGAAATGTGTATGAACTGTCAAGCAGTCCATCTTTTGTGTTGCTTATGCCTTAGTTCTAGTCATTCCCCCCATACAGTTTCCAGTTAGTTTCCTAGGTTTAAACTGGGCCATTTAAGCCATTTGAACTGTGGTAATACAAGGTGGCATTTGTTCAGCTAGTACAAGAAACAGTGTTTTTTTTGTTTTTGTTTTTTGTTTTGTTGTTGTTGCAGTCCATCAAATATTAAGTGATTCTTGGGGGGGGGAACCCTTGGAGACATATAGAATATTATTAGGGCTTTGGAAGTATAATATCAAAATGTTATGTTAAAATAACCACAAAATGTTCAAACAAAAGAGTAGTGCATTTTGGAGTATTTACACTGTGGTTACTAAATATTTCTATGCTGACTGTCTGGAATACAGCTGTTTTATATTGTACGCAGCTACCCAAACTGCTTTTCAGAATGAAATTTGTGCAGAAGACACTGAGTTGCATTTCTCCCTAAGAATGAATAAACCAGGATGACATATTTTGTGTCTGTCTGTCTGTTTATCCAGGAGGAGCATGAAAAGGAAAGCAATGTTCACATGTCCATTCAATGGCGACTGTAAAATCACCAAAGATAACCGACGGCATTGTCAGGCTTGCCGGCTGAAGCGCTGCGTTGACATAGGCATGATGAAAGAGTGTGAGTAAACATGAAGCCCCATTTCTTGCATTGCAGGCCTTTCAATCGTTGAAGTCTGAGAACCCAGAGCACTTTCTCCAGTAGCTTGAATTTCTTTGGAAATTCCATCCTCTAGAATTGATCAATTTGTTTAAAAAATGGTCAATTTCTCTGCCCTTGACTGCTTTATAATATGCAAATAAGTCACTTAATCTAGGTATCTGAGCTCCTCTTTATTAAGAAATGGCAGCAGACGTCTGGCAGAGGAAGCTGAGTCAATTATAGGAGATCTGATTGTAGATCTGAGTGGATTGTAGTAGACCTGACATGAAAGTACCCCTTAGCATTTTTAGTTATGCAGCTAAAAGGTTTTTAGGGAAGGCCATAAGAGATAGGACCATTCAGTCTTGCCTAGTTACAAAAATGTCAGAAGGTTTAAAGTTTTGATTCCCCCCCCCCCGGCTGGCCCCCGGCCATATGCAATGACTCTACAGATCTTCACAGTAGGCAGAATTTAGGATAGTGGTATATATCATTAGTGCTGTGTGGCTGACCAGTCTTGAACGTGGAAGGGCTTGGCTGATATTTGGCATGTCCTAAATTTTTGCCAGATGACATTAGTATAGTTTTTTTAAAAAAATTACAAACAGTTACCAATGCAGAAACTGATTAGAATATGTGGATATTAGAATGCGCATTCCTCATTGTACTGTCCAATCTGGATTTGATTTATATGTATATATTACAAGTGTGCATTCACTTTTACAAACAGTCATATCTTTTTCATTTAGTGGTACTTTTGATGCTAAGATTTCTTTAGAAGCAAACTCTGTATCTATTAATTTATGAATTAACTTGATTGGAAAGTGGTGATTGAAAGATAGCTGTGTAATATTGCCCATATATGATTAGTGTCATGTTTCTTTCTTGCTTCTTTCCGGAATGAACATGCCCTCTCTGTGGGCAGTTAGAGTAGCTGAGCTGTTGTGCCATATATATTTTTCCAAAAAAGTGTTAGTTTGTTGATGTGGCAGTAGAAGTACTTCCTTTTCTTATGATTCACTGCTGTGCTACTGGAATCGTTCTGTTTCTTAGGAAACATAACTCATCTAGCATTGTGCCATTTTCCTCTTTGTAACTAGGAGATGCAGTAAACTGCATGTTTTGGCTTTTTATAAATGTTTCATGAAGATATGAATTATTAACTGAGATTTAGGGGATGAATCCCACTGTCCTTAATACAGCATCTATTCACACAGTTTGCACGCTGAGACTCCATATAGGTAAATATGTAACCATTCATGTGGGTGCTTGCTCTTGTGAATTAGATGTAATGCCCACAATGCAGTGTAAAAAGAAATCAGAATACCTTCCTCCTATACTGTAAGCATATCAAAAATCAGCTTTTTAAAAGCCAGTTAAATGGGGCGAGGAGATATAAAGTATAAATTACTACCACTCAGATGCGAGATTTCCATTTGTGTGCAGAACTCTGCTTGTACTCAGGGTAGGTGCTTCAGGAATTCCTTCACAAATATATTTAGCATTTTCCCAGTTTGCAAGAGCTGGGCCAAGCTGTTGAAGGAAGGACATTTGGAGATTGCTCATTCATGGGGTCGTCATGAGTCGGAGGAGATTTGTTTTTTTTTCCCTTCATAGATTTCGGATGCAGCCCACAAAAGCTTACACCGGATAAGACTTGTTAATTATTAAGGTGCCATGAGACTCTGTTTCTGCTGCAACAGATTAGCATGCTCTTAAATGCATAGCACAGGATTCATCATGTAGATTACAATCTCTTGTACTTTGCACATGTGTTCAAGTACATGGATCCCACCATGTTATATATAATGACTGGTCATTGTTCAGTCTTCCCTTTTAAAGTAATGCCTATGGGTGAGTGATGGTATTGTAAACTCCAGGCTTTTTCTGGCATGAATTATATGAATCCATTCTGAACATTTTATGTCCAGGTTTGGGATAGCTTTGGGACAGAAGTCCCTTGTTGGATTATTTATGTCAGGAAGTTGACGTAACTAGCTACTAACTAGCTTCTGCCAGACATTTCAGTAATATTCTGTACTATCCATCATAATATTTCTCTAGACCATTTGACTGATATGAGATTTGTGTGCCCCATTCTGTAGTGATTCCAGCCCTAGATGGATGCATGTTTCTAGAAAGTGACGTAACAGATACATCTTTGGAACCAGTTTGTTACTTTACAGATTCATGTAGCCAATTTAGCAAACACAAACCACACTTTTCTGAAGCATTTGACTGCATGATCATTCTTGACACAATTGAAGCATAGATGAAGCCTATTGTCAGTGGTTAGAGATGGGCACAAACCTTGGTTTGGAAGTTTGTGCTAGTTCATCTGTGCAGCACCTATGGTACTGCACATTCCCTTCCCCCCACTCACCAGCCAGTGTGCACTGCTCTTTCCCTCCTCTTCGTGTGATTGTCCAGTCACAGCAGAAGTGCATGCTTCCCTCCTCTACCTCCTCTGGCAGCTGTCCACTAAGACGATGAGGAATTTTTCACAGCAGAAGTGCATGCTTCCCTCCTCTGGCAGCTGTCCACTCAGACGATGAGGAATTTTTGCCTTTGAGTGGGTGGCTGCTGCAGGAGGCAGAAGAGGGAAGCATGCACTCCTGCTGGGACTGATCAAAACCTGAAGAGGAGAAAAAGAGCAGCGGGGGAGCCAGGAGGTGGGGAAAGGGAACATCCGAGGTTCATGCCTATCTCTACTAGTGATTCATGGTGTGGGAGAAAATCTGTAAAGTTTACCTGAATGCTTTAGAATAGTCACATATTCTGTGTCTTCCCCACATCCATATATGGAAGGCCTTGTTTCTAATACATAAACTTGCTGTAATAAATTGATCTGATATGTTCAGTGGGCAAGATATGAGGAGAAAAGGACTAGGAATGATATTTTCATAACAGAATTTCCATTCCCAGAAGTTGGCTTGACAGACTTCTGGTACTGAAAGAGGGGAAACTAGAGAAAAGATGGAGCATCCCCTCAGTCACTGCTTCCTGGGAGTCACCAGTTACTGCACAAACAGGAATTGTTTCACTGCATAAGCATTTACAGTACGGGGTATAGACCTGCCATTAAAGATATTCCAATATGGATTAAAGATAGTTTTCCAAGGATACAACTATTTACTTTTTACAAATAGGTGTTTTAAGACTTCTGTGTTGGCAGATTTTGAAAAAACAAACTACTCTCCTGTAAAAATATTTACCATTCCTTCCTCATTGTAATCATTAGAACAGCAGCATTTAAACAGAGCTGCTGCCTTTGTACCTATTTGGAATGCCTTTGCATACCAGGACCTGAAGAAAGATGAGGACTTTGACTTTCCCAGCCCTGTGCAGGACCAAATATCAGCTTCAGCGGAAGTGAGTGTGGCAGCGTTAACATTAAACCAGTGGCAGCTCATTCATTAGCAAAAGGAGGACACCACCCAGGCTTAAAATACCCCCCCCCCCGAGAGTCCATTTCTACTTTCCTCCTTACTAGAGGCAGAAAGTCTGTGTATGTGTGAATGCTTACTTGCCTGCTTCTGTGTGTTTGTGTGAATATGTCTCTATATGTGTGTGTGTGTGAGAGACCCCACTTTTGCCTTGGCTCGCACGATTGGTTGCTGTGTTTTCTGCTGCACCCTCTGCAGTCACAGTGGCATTAAACTCTGCTATCACAGCAGCATAGGAAGGAGAGGTTTTCAAGGATACAATGAGAGGTTTACAGTAAAACTTGTAAATGATCCTTTTAATGACATAGTTACTTGGTAAAGAAAACCTTAACCCACTGCAGCTAAAAATAGCTTTTCCAAGCTGACCACCAGTTCAATGAACAGGAACAGAATGTGCTTCAGAGGTGTGGGCCAAATTACTGACAGGGAGCTGAAGTTCCATCCTCTCCGGTAAACTGCCGCTGCAGGCCATCTTGCCTCCTGGGTGTAGGACTGTACTTCAGACAACCAGGATTCCTCTTCTATGTTTTGTTCTTAAATCAAGAGGAACACTGGTGCCTGCATGTGTTAGCTTGCTAGTTTGAACCACAAAAGTGCTGAATATTCACAAGTAGCTTCTGCCCACTTGTTTTTATAGGACAGGCTGAGACACCTACCTAATAAATCTACCACTGTCATGTACTGTGTGTCTATTTCCATACTTGCTCTACCCAGGAGCGTGATTGTTTCAGCCTAGACAGGAAAGAGATCTGAGTTACAGTGTTTATACTTTCAGATATGGAGGTCAGTGATTACATTCATTTTCTCAGAATGCTAGGTATGATCTGATACCTGCAACACTACCAGTGGCTGTTTCATTCAGTCTGCAGTCTCTGTTTTTCAAACTGATTGTTGCTGTTGACCAAACAGTTGCAACATCTGGTTCATGAAGTCGTTAGGGAGCAAGGTGAAAAACAGAGTGAAGGATCTCTTCATCAACCCTATTCTGCGGTAGCTTCCACATATCCTGTTCTGGGAGATATCAAGCAAGTTTGTTTCCCCCTTGGGAGCTGCCTTGATTATATTGACTCCAAGGATATGAAAAGTATTTGTAAATGTTCTTTTTCTCTGAAGTTTTCTGAGTCTAGCTGTGCTGATCCTCCTAGTGGAGACTTTCCTCTGCTCCATGGAGATTTCCTAGTTTTCCATACAAACAAGGTCACGGTCTCATTTCCCACCACCACTTCCTATTTTTTGCATGTTGCTTTATACAGGAAACAATTTTGCACAGGTTAATGTCCTTGAATGCTGTACAGGAAATGTTATATTCCTATATGGCTTGGTGCTTGCCTCTTCCAGATGAATCCTGCAGAGGAAAGATGCCACTCTGTCCTGAAAGTGTAATAATCCTGTGTAGCTTGGAAAAAGTGGCCATAAAACATCGGTGAAATCCTGCAAGATATCATTTTGGTGGTGGCGGTGGTAAATCTTGTACAGAGAAATTTGCAGCGAGAAAAGAGGCATTTTTACCCCACAGTTTCTCAGTGACAGTAA